TTAGGAAAAATCTACAGAGTTACCGAAATTGTATTCGATTGATAAGGGACCGTAGCTGTATATGTTGTTGTTATGCTGCGCTGGTATCAATGCGACAGCTGTTGCCCACCCTACCATGATCACCGGGGCCGCTTGACCAGACAAATGGCCGGTGATCCCTAAAACAACACAGATTACATTACCCTAACATTCCGACGACGAATGGCTCCAACATAAATAACGCAAATTAACACATAATTATAAGTTCGTTACACATTTATTTTTGTGGTGGGTTGGGGAGTTAAATCGAATATTTTTTATAATAGTAAAAAAGAAAATTAATAAAAGACTTACATTACACATAGATAAAGAATTTTTTTTCTAGGTGAGGTTCTAATTTGGTCTATGACCCAAATTGGTAAAAGTAAAAATTATTCCTTTCTTTTTTTTTTTTTTGTTCGACAAAAATTCATTTAAATTTTTAATTCATTTAGCGAAAGCTGTAACGCTCATTTGAAATAGATTATTTTCTCTTTACCGATTTTTTTTTTTTTTTGCTCTTAAACGCGGCATTAAATTATCCATTAAATTATTATTGGGCCATTCTATTTTGATTTTCTCGGAAATTAAGTGCAAAGAAAAATAAAATTTATGAGTTTTTTTTTTTTTTTTTTGCTTCACTTACATGCATTCACTCCATCTTCGAAAGCGCTTCCATCGATGTAATGTGCGATGATCTGCTGGGAAAAAAAATCACTTCGAATTGCACAAAAAAAAATTTAAAAAAATAAAAAAGAAGGCACTAGATAACAAAATTATTTTTCGAACTTCATGTGACTTGTATTCTCTCTCTTTCTCTTTAAAATCTGGCTCTCACCAGCAATATGGCGACCGGATTTCGGAGCATGGAAGGAGAAAAGGAGAGTAAAAAATATAGACCAATGGAAAAAATATGTGGGGCAAGAAAAAAAAACGGAGTTAAAGGAAAAAAATGCGGAATAAGAACTTAACCATTTGCCGAAAAAAAAAAGAAAAAAAGAAACTCGCACATAACTAATGTAAAATTTTAAATCATGCGCTTAAGGCGACTTAACTACGCCCATGGCGTTCACAATAGGACTTATTCAGTTTTTTTCACTTTTTTTGTTAGCTAAGCTAATTATTCATTTTTCCAGCAAAAATATAACACAAAAAAAAAATAAGATTTCGTTTCGCTTAAAAAAAAAATGACCAAGATAAACGTAGCTTGCTTTGACGACGTCAGCCACCAGGGAACGATTTCCAACTAATTTTTGGAGTTTCGCCGACGGCGATCGTCTCTTAGTAATTCGTCTTTCGAACTCCCATTTTCGAGCAGGCTAGAGAGCACGAAACGAAAAAGCGAGATTTGACGACAAGGCGAATTAACGATGACAATTACAGACGCTCTGCATATTTTAGGCTTCGGCAGGCAAAAAAAAAGAAATGTTTGCCGCTGCTAATTGCAGAAAGTCGAAAGACTATAATATCTCATTATATTTTGTTGATGAGAATATTACGAAGCGCCATACCTGCAATAGACAGGTTGAAATATAATTGCTTTTAAGTCTTTTGGTTCAACAAAAAAAACTGTCTACCCCTGATTGGGTCTGGCATTTTTTTATTTTTAGTTTTCTCAATTACCAACTGACGGCTGAGAAGTGGTTCATCGATGCGGGCACTTAGATATTTTTTTGAAATTACTTCTATTAAAAATGATGCTTCCGAGTTTAAGCGCGATTGTAAATAGGCGCACTTTCTTACATTTATTTATTATTTTTTTTTTTGAGTCAACCTTTCTCCACGGTGGACCAAAGGTAAAAAGAAAGATCTGAGCTCCGATCGGCTTAAGGATCGCTATTTACAGCGACACCAGGACAGACGCCATTTCTAATTATCAAATTAACATTCCTCTACTATTTTTTTTCTCTTTCACTCGTTACAAGCGATATTACGCCCGGGTTGAGCCATAGATGGCGAGATCTAATAGGGTAAGCAAGGTACACGACATTGGCTGGACTTACATTGTCTATTTTTGGGCTGTTTATTTAAACTCAAACAAATTCTTGCTTCAAGCGCCACTACACGTACTGATCGATTTCTATATATTTTACAAGATTGGTTAGGTGAAACTACAGACTTCAATTGTGCACATGCGGTTTTCGGGGGAATTATCCCTAAATTAAGATATGTAAAGAATGGTGAAAACCTAACTTTTCAACCCCTTTGTTTACCCATATTATAAATTAAAATTCAAAATAAAATGAATGTAGATAGTAAATAATTTAATTTTTTTGAAATTCTGCATTTACATTTATTTTGTTTCGTGCCTTAAATCATAAATAAATGCATTTGAATGTGACCGATACTTTTCCGATAAAAAGTTCCAAAATTCGACGCTAAGTCACCGCCGCTAATTGTTTACCTACGTGTTTTTCAATTCTGACCGTTACAACAAAGTGTCTATGCTGTTTTTTGCTTTATATGCCACTTTTTCACAATGTACTCAAAGAGTAATAAACAGATGACTTGAATGTCATGACCGGCTGGCATTCAAATTTTCAATTTTCTAGCTAATTGCGCCGAGACTCGGCTCTGCAAGAACAACAACATCAGTAGCCAAATTATGCTGTTGTTGTTTTTGATTGCACTGAGTTTCTTTTTTCATTGCACTGAGTTTCCTATGTCCACATCATGGCTCACAAACCTCTAGTTGATAAAACCGCGGGACGAACAAAAACTTAGGTTTCGTGCGCAGTGTTGTTGATTTGCAAGTGATTTGTTGTTGCTTCCATTTTGTTGGGTTTGATTTTTAAAACGGTAAAAAAGCTCAAAGTGTTAGTTAATATATTTCTCTTTATTAGTCAATGACTCCATACTTAACCTCTTAATGTATTTTATATTTTATATCGATTTATTATTTTTCATGGAACTATTAAAAACAAGTAAGAGGTTCTAGTCGGGAGCTCCCGACTAAGGAATACTCTGAACCCTCTTATTACAACACCAAATAAATTAATAAAAAAAAAGTTCCCTTGGCAGGGTTCGAACTCGCAACTGACCGCATTACTTGCTGTCGACTCTACTCAATAGCTACACCAGCAGCAAAAAAAATATGTTCCCCGGTAGGGCTCGAACTCGAGAGAGACCGCACCACTTGCTATTCCTATACTCCGCAGCCACACCAATAATTAAGTACTTACGATACAAAAGGAACTAAAATAGCATTACAGAACAAGTAAGAGGTTCTAGTCGGGAGCTCCCGGCTAGGAGATACCCTGAACCCCCTTCTTCCAACATCAAGTGCATATATATATTTTATTTTAGAAGCTATATGTCAAGTTTGGTGACTCTAGCTCTTATTATTTACCAAAATTGCCCAAAAAACAGGACATCGATATCGATTTTTATCGATTGCTTGGAAACGGACTAAGTTATCGATTATCGGATAGATGTAGGTGCTCCTAGTTCCCGCGCAGATCGAGTTTGTTTCCGATAATCGATAACTTACTCCGTTTCCAAGCAATCGATAAGAATCGATATCGATATCCTGTTTTTTGGGCAATTTTGGTAAATAATAAGAGTTAGAGTCACCAAACGTGACATATAGCTTCTAAAATAGAATATATATGCATTTGATGTTGGAAGAAGAGGGTTCAGGGTATCCCCTAGTCGGGAGCTCCCGACTAGAACCTCTAACTTGTTTTATTTAGTTCTAAGAAAATTAATAAATCAATATAAAGTATAAAATACATTATTATATTAAAAGAATGTTGTCTTAAATGCATATTAATCTGGAAAACATAAATTTTTCGCTTTGTTAAAACAATTTCTTGATATACTGTATGTAGATATTTTAAAAGAATTTAAGCGCGAATTAACCTCCACCAAATCTTTGACCCCCATTTCCACCAAGGAGGAATACATTTTTGGAAAAGTGTGAAACACCTCTCAAATGAATTTGAGCAAGGAACTTTGAAATTTTTAGCGATTTTTCCATATTTGCGGGACTATAGTAAAGATTTCAGCTTCCTATTTCTTACGGTTTGGGTTGATCACCAATCAGTCAGTCAGTCAGAACAAACCATTTTATATATAGAGATGGCTCAATTTGGTAATTGGTAAATATATCATGGAAAAACCAAGCATATATAAATTCTATTTGAATATATAACGTAACGTTCTGTAAATGAAAAAGTTTGTGCTTAATAACTCACAACTCAATAGCTATGAATTTTAGATTTTCAAAAAATTGTATTCTCATGTGAATATAATAAATTCTTCGAGGTATTTTGCCAAGGATTCTGTAAGTACATTACTATTAGTTAAAATTCACACATTCATTAATTTACGATGCTTTTTTCAATATTGTGACAGTGTTATTAAACGACCACTTTGCATGCTAATAAAGCGCAGGGTTCAGCCACCCTTTTTATCGATTTAAGCAATTTCAACGATCTGGCAGTATGTTCGCTAGAGTAAGAAATTGCTGCTTACATTTCAAATTGTTAATGTGAAAAAGAAAACAGTTTAATCAGTCAGTAAATATGATGTATGCGCAGTGAGTTCAGAAAACACTAATTATTTTTATTTTAGCTGGACTTTAAACGTTTTATTCTGTCGAAAGAAAACGATATGAGTACTAATAAGAAAATGGTTTAATCTTTAAACTTTTAGGCGAGCTTTTTTATTTGCTGAACTAACGCATGCGCAGCAAAAATCTGTCACCGGTTGATTCAATTCAACTCATATATGTATGTATATACATAAGTACTGCAACACCCTGTGAACAACCCCCGAAATACTTAATGATAAGACAACCCAGACAGCCAGCCAGCCACACTAGAGTTACAACCACTATTACAAATATACATACATATATGCGAAGAGAAAACGATTGGCTTTATGCGCTCTCTTGCAAACTCGTGATGTTCTCTCATGCAAGACTTCAAGGCTTTACAGTTACGAAAATTCAACGGGCTCCATCACCTCGGAAAGTGAGTTAGTTATTCGACAAAGTTTACTACTGTCGTGTGTGCTTTACTCAAGAAACGGAAGAGATATAGGGATATGCAAAACGGCAACGTAGGCAAACATAATAATCACAAGTTTTGCCCTTTCCCAATGTGTGCTACTTATGTGTGTGTACAAAAAATCAGTAATATTTTAGTGCAAATGTTTTAAGAATTGTGAGCCCAATGCTTAACTGTTTTCAAATGTAATTATATAATAAATAAAAGAGCTGCAAAATAATCATCCCTGTCGAGTAGCCGTGCACCTCAAGTTGGTAAAAGTAGTCAACACAGAGAAATAATTCGTTGAGGCTTTTTCTACGTGTGTTAGTGTTAGGAGTAGTAATTTTGCGTGACGAATTTAATTTTTTTCGAATAAATGTATTGTATAGACTCGACTGCAACCTTCATCTAGAAGTGATTTTACGTAGCCAGGTCGATGAAATTTTACACCCAGCCCGACACCCTATTGACCCAACCATTAACAAGACCACCAGTAAGCATGGAGGTAAGCGGAAAATGTTGCCATTCGGTAAATAACATGTACAACAGCAACAGCTCTATTATAGACATTTGTGCAAATCGATTTTAAAACAATTAAAACTACGCGCAGCAATAAAAACAAACCAAAACAAGCTGTCGAGTGTCCGACTACTAAAGACACTCGCCGCCAGCTGCGTACCTTTCACAGCGGCAGTGCTTAGTTCGCCCAGCTTGTACTTGAAAATTTAGTTGTTAATAACTTTTCTGGCTAAAATTAGTATTTTTTCGATTAGGACAAGGGAAAGGTTAGGGGGAGAACCTCTACCAAATTAGCTAGCTCTGGCCTCCTATTTATCTAAAATATGGCCGAAAACTTGCACTGGAAATCGATATTTATGGATTTTACACAAACGGGGGAGTAATCGAATACGTATAATAGACATAATTCTCCATCTACTTGTTATATACACTTGCACATCCCTTGCCCTTTTTATACTCAATTTTATACCCTGAACCCATTAAAAATGGGTATAAGGGTATATTGTATTTGTGCGAAATCCAAATGTGTGTAACAGGCAGAAGGAAGCATCTCCGACCCCATAAAGTATATCAGCATCAATAGCCGAGTCGATCTAGCCATGTCCGTCTGTCTGTCTTTCCGTCCGTCCGTCCGTATGTATGAACGCAGGGATCTCAGAACCTATAAGAGCTAGAGACTTGAAATTTTAGATGTAGATGCTCCTAGCTCCCGCGCAGATCGAGTTTATTTCCGATAATCGATAACTTACTCCGTTTCCAAGCAATCGATAAAAATCGATATCGATATCCTGTTTATTGGCAATTTTGGTAAATAATAAGAGCTAGAGTCACCAAACTTGACATATAGCTTCTAAAATAGTATATATATGCATTTGATATTAGAAGAAGAGGGTTCAGGGTATCCCCTAGTCGGGAGCTCCCGACTAAAACCTCTGACTTGTTACTAAGTCGAAAAGAGTACATAGGTTTTATTCTGTCGGTTTCTCTGCCCTTACGCGATTTACGCGATAGAAGCTTACCACTTAATTCTTAAAATATATGATATTTGTGTATATATCCGCGTCAGAGAAAGTGCTAAAATGCTCGGACCACGCCCACCAGAAGGTGGGCTAGCCGCGAAAACCTATAACGCTTACTAGATCTTAATAATGACCTTCTGTAACAACCAAATAAACATATTTAGTTTTAAAGGTAGATTTACCAAATTTTGCTACTGCTACTCATGGATTCGATATATTTGTATACTTATTATGAACTTTTTTAATGACCGACATAAAAATATTGCGGCGACGTCCGCATATGGCTACACATATATTGTCAAAAGACACTTTTTTATATTTACATTTAAAAATGTATGATAACTGCTTTGTGCTTTTGAACTGACAATTTGCTTTTAAGCTTGCAATTGCAAGTTTCAATTAATTAATGAATTCAATTAAACCGTCAAAACGCCTCACACCTCCCAGTCATATCATGAATTCAGTTGCAGTATGCATGTGTGTGTATGTGTACACATATATACAGAAATTCTACAGCTTTGAACTTTCTTCTTAAGTATTCTTAAGTATCTTTTGTGTTTCTTAAACGATCTTGATGCATCGGATTTATATATAGATTTTAATGGATTGTCTTTCGTTGCTTAACTTAATGAATGACAAGGGGCGTGCAATCCTGGAACCGATTAAAGTGTCAGCAAATGATAACAGTAAGAGTGGCGTAGTCGGGTTTTCCCGACTGCACATACTCTATATGTTCAGAGATGCAGAGTTGCATCGTCTGCCTGTTGCCTAAAAAAAATCAAACGCTGGTCGCGTACTTAGGCAATTAATAGCAAAATTCTGTTTTTTCAGTATATCCTGGAATTTATAAGATCTAAAAGGACTCTCAAAACATGCAAAGGGAAGCATCTCCGACTCCATTAAGTATTTATATTCTTGGTATGCCAAAACAACCCAGCCGATCTCAGAACCTATTAGAGCTAAAAACCTGTTTCCAAGGTTTTAATAAAGCTTTTGCTAAATAGCCTTAATTTTTATCGTGGAAAAGTGCACAGTTTACAGTAGGTGGATAGTATTCTCCTCAGCTTACAGATTTGTCCGTACTGTATTGTACTGTATTATCGCTGCTAAATGGAAAGAACGTATATTCGATTCTTCTAAACATTTCCCGTAATTGAGAATTATTAAGAGCAAAGTGCTGAAAATATTTATGGTAAGAATACCATTTATTTTTTTCATTTCCTTTGGATCCCAAATTACTGATTCGTCCGTCACTTGTGCCATTTCCTTACAGACAAAAATCAATTTAATGCAATAATATTAGACAAAAATGGTATTTTTATTGGGGTGAGGATTTATCAGAAGCCAAAGAAGTGAATGAATGGAAAAGCAAACAGCTGGCAATGACCAAGAAAAGCTGAAGCTGCAAATTAAAGCTTAAATCAAGACAAAGTTTCTTATTATATTAGTATCTTTATATTAATAAGGGCCACATAAAAAAATTCTATGCAATCGTACCTGTTTGGCTGTAAATATTACTGGAGACGATACTCGAGATAAAAATATTCTTCTATGACAGGTCAATTACATACAAATTTATCGCAAAGCTTAATTAAACGTTCTTCCATTTAAAGGATTAATACTTGGCCTTAGATACTTTACACAGTCAATATCAAAAAGGGAAGAGAGTCTGAAAGAGAGTCCTTTTCATTCTTGGATCACTTCAGCAAAGTTATGCCATGCAAGCCACCCCTATCAAAGCAATAAACAGTAATGAGTTACGAATAACTTTCAGCGAGACAGAAAGGATATCTTCTTATACCCTTGTAGCTAATTTCCATTCGCAGATATCGGAGAGTATTAAAGGTAGACAATGCTGAGTGTTATGGAAATAACTCTAAAAGAAATCCCTAAATTAGCTATATAATATAGTGCTCCGATCCGGCCCGTTCCGAAGGAGTAGAAATAACAAAGATTGAGATTTTCCTCATGTATATCCTTGAAAGCACACATTCACATGCACTCCGCAAAGTACCATCTTCTTTAAGCTCGTTGACTATGGGAAATTCATTTTCCAAGTTAAGCATATGTCTATACTAATGAGTTCGATTTTATTGGAAAGGGGAAGGTTATTATCGATATTTATTATGAAAATGAAATTTTTTGATGGTAGAAATGGTAATGGTTATTATGGGGTCAGAACATCAGGTTAACGACTTGAGGAGATTCAACAAAGTCGATCTCAGAAACAACAAAACCTAGAGCTTTCACATTGGAATACATATTCTCGTATACCATAAGTAAATAGCTGATTCAGTGAATGTTTTATACCCTTGCAGAGAGTACTATCATTTTGTCTCGTCAGAGAGTTATCTCCGACCTCATCTGCAAGCGTAGTATATCTTCGGCATTTCGAAGATATCGTTACTTGCTTGTTTCAAGCTCTAAAGTCTTATAAAGGTTGTACTGTAATCACCGAATCTAGTCTTTTCAGCATTTTTATACCCTGAAAGTATTAAAAATGGGTATAAGGGTATATTGTATTTGTGCGCAATCCAACTGTATGTAACAGACAGAAGGAAGCATTTCCGATGCCGTAAAGTATATGTTCTTGATCAGCATTAATAGCCGTGTTGATCTAGCCATGTCCGTCTGTCTGTCCGTCCGTCCGTCCGTATGTATGAACGCAAGGATCTCAGAACCTATAAGAGCTAGAGACTTGAAATTTTAGATGTAGGTGTAGGTGCTCCTAGTTCCCGCGCAGATCGATTTATTTCCGATAATCGATAACTTACTCCGTTTCCAAGCAATCGATAAAAATCGATATGTTTAAAAAATTATATTAATATAGAGATATATGATTGTATTAGTATACTCATTATTCAGTATATGCATAATATAAGTAAAATCTTATTTACGTTGTACTACTATATCTCTATGAGAACAATCAGTGGGTAATAACGTGATGGAATTAACCCCTCTAAGGGTATAAAGTCTTTGGAATGCCGAAGGTAACTGTTCTCTCTGATTCAACCTGCAAAACAGGATGGGAAACTGAATAAAACATGTGGTAATCTACGAACGAAGTGGACAGCTTTATAGTTCTCATCGTTCACACACTGCAACCAACCAAAACATAGACGACTAATGACCTAAAGGATAACTGGTAGACGGTGTCATGCTGCTATACGAATACGTTCTTTAAGGAAAAGGGTATTCGCTAGAGCCAGAGCTTCCGAGTATTCTGGTAAAAGGCGATGAGCTTGCCGGCAGGTTGGGCAGTCGGACAAATGACATTAAAAATATTAAAAGTAACCCCACGACGTACTGTCAAACAACAACCACCCAAACGGCTCGTGCGCCAAAGAACTGCAAAATCTCTTTTACTCTCTTTTATTTTCTCTTAAAATAACTCTTTCTTGTGTCCTTGCGCATGAGTAGACTCTGCATTCTCTTGTGTTTAAGCCTGTTTGGCTGTCAACAGTTTAGTTGCTGATGACATTTTGTACTTTTCCTTTTGAGTCTCTTAAACCATAGTTATTATAGCACTCTGCTCTTTATACTCTTGCAAAGGGTTTTATAATTTGTAACAAAATGTGTAATACCTGAAAGGATAAAACTCCGATCCTATACGAACAGTAAGCTAAGATTTATTGCATGTTCTAAGCATAACTTATCATGTCTAATCTTTATTTGCTTTTTGCTGCAGACAGTATATATAAAGGTCAGCAGGGACGGGCAATTTTAATCAAAAAAAAAATTTGTTGGTCAATTTTAAGATCTTAATACCAATATTGCTGCTAACGCTATTTAACCTTGAATAAAGATTTAAAAAATTAAATTTAGTATTTTGCAATTTTAAAATGAATCTAGGCCAGGTGACGAACAGCACAAATATTCAGATTAACACGTACATAATAATAATATTATTTATTATTTATATATTCAAGCAAGTAAAAGATTCTAGTCGGGAGCTCCCGACTAGGGGATACCCTGAACCCTCTTCTTGCAACATCAAATGCATATATATATTTTATTTTTGAAGCTATATGTCAAGTTTGGTGACTCTAGCTCTTATTATTTACCAAAATTGCCAAATAAAACAGGATATTGATATCGATTGCTTGGAAACGGATTAAGTTATCGATTATCGGAAATTTCGCATACAATATACCCTTATACCCATTTTTAATGGATTCAGGGTATAACGAGAAAGAAAGGTTATCTTCGACACGCCGAAGATCTAATACCCTTGCAGACCCAACCTTTTCATAATGCTTATAGTGCTTTGCCCGTATCTAAGAAGCACAGGGAAAATAGTTAATGCCGAGTTTGGGATAGATATCTTGAAAAACAAAATGTTTTTTCATACAAAAAATTAATTTCCGACCGATCGTTCCTATGGCAGCTATATGATATAGTGGTCCGATCTTAATAGGATTTTGACTGTACATGAGAAGTAAAGTAAAACTGATAAATGCCGAATTTGGTCAAGATATCTTGAAAAACAAAATGTTTTTTCATACAAAAACTTAATTTTCGACCGATCGTACCTATGACAGGTATTCGATATAGTGGTCCGATCTCAATAGGATTTTGCACATATATGAGGAGTAAAGTAAAACTAATAAATGCCAAGTTTGGTCAAGATATCTTGATAAACAAAATGTTTTTTCATACAAAAACTTAATAATCGACCAATCGTTCCTATGGCAGCTATATGATATAGTGGTCTGATCTTAATAGGATTTCGCATATATATGAGGAGTAAAGTAAAGCTAATAATTGCCGAGTTTGGTCAAGATATCTTGAAAAACATAAAATTATTTCATACAAAAACTTAATTTTCGACTGATCGATCCTATGGCAGCTATATGATATAGTGGTCCGATCTTAATAGGATTTTGCATATATATGAGGAGTAAAGTAAAACTAATAAATGCCGAGATTGGTCAAGATATCTTGATAAACAACCGATTGTTCCTATGGCAGCTATATGTTATAGTGGTCCGATCCAGCTGGTTTTCACATATGTGCTGCGTGCAACAGAAAGAGGGACTTCTGCAAAATTTCATTGATAGCCTTAAAACTGAGAGACTAGTTCGCATAGAAACAGACAGACGGACATGGCTCTATTGACTCGGCTGTTGATGCTGATCAAGAATATATATACTCTATGGGGTTGGAGAAGAAACTAAAATAACATTACAGAAAAAGTCGTAATTACCATGCTTTTAGAATGCGAAGCAGACCCGCCTGAATGTGTGTGTGTAGATGTATACAGAAACTCTTAAAGCTGCTTTCTCATCCGATTGCGTAGTTGCATAGAACTTTAACCATAGAATATTTGTTTATTCTGAAAAAGTCAATTGCATTTAAATTGTGGCATAAATTTGTTGGCAATAAAAGTTGGGTTATTAACTTCATTTATAGCTGTGCGGTGGTAGCGGGGAGGTGGCGATAGGTATAAAATGAAAGATACTTGACAGATCAATAAAATTCTAGAAGCATCATATCATGTTTGGTGGCTCTAGCTCTTATTATTTACCCAATTTTCGATTTTACAGCTAAAATTTCAAAAAGTCTCTAGCTCTTATAGGTTCTGAGATCCTTGTGTTCATACATATGGACAGACGGAAAGACAGACAGACGGACATGGCTAGGTCGACTCGGCTATTGGTGCTGATCAAGAATATATATACTCTATGGGGTTGGAGATGCTTCCTTCTGCCTGTTACAAGCATTTGTATTTTGCACAAATACAATATATCCTTATACTCGTTTTTAATGTGTTCAGGGTATAAAAACGCTATTGCTTCACCTGTCTATGTTTCGACTGGCACAGCGGACCACTATTCGTGGTAAGCGACAGGGCCAATTGACCAGCACTCTCACGCCGGAATGCTACTTGATCCCCCCAGAAGTCCTGGGTGTTGTCGGAATTGGAGGCAAAACCTTATTTACTGCGCGCCTTTAAAATTAAACTAAACGAAGAACAAACCAACATCTAGAAACAAGAGCGCAGTAGTCAAATGTGTTTGATTACAAAATCCACTCTAGACTTCAGTCAACATAATATTTTTACAGTCCACGCTTTCAATTCTTTAAAGTACGTTGTTGAGGTACTTATAGATGTATTGATGTGCAACATACAAATTTATGTGTGGCCAATTGCGCAACTTACACAGAGGTAAGTACTTCATCTGTCCTCCCCACACTTTTGCAAACTTAATGTTGAATAACTCCTATGTGCCCGAATTTTATGCAATCTTAATATCATTCAAATGTGTTTATAACAAATCCCATGGCGTTAGATAGAAAACTGAGTTTGTTTTTCCATTTTCGGGTGAATGGGTGAAGTATTCGAAATGTAAAATCTGTGTGTACTATACGAGAGCCTACATCCAATTTTGACAAAGCTGAAAATGGATTTTCTTATGATCGTTTGGAAATGGGAACAAGTTACAATAAATGATAAGCTCTTTCTGCGCAAAAATGAGAATATACATATCAATTTGTACAAAAGTCGGCAATACCACAACGCTCATTAAGAATGACCGATTGACCGCATAAACCGCTTATACCCAAAAGCTTACTATTAAACTTGATAGATCAAAGCCAATATTGTTTTTACACCCTTGTAGAGGGACAAAAATGTTTTCATAAAATGTCGACCTCATAGAAGGAGACATCTTCAATGTCTTAAGTAGGATTAGGCTATTTATGTACAACTTTTTTGTTTATCAAGATATCTTGATAAAACTCGGCATTTAAAAGTTCCACTATGATCCTTATATATTTGCAATGTGTTATCCACATCGGCTTACAAAGCTGCTATATGAAAGATCGATCGAAAAGTAGGTTTTTATATCGTAAAATATTCTGTTTTCGAAGATATTTTCATCGAATTTAACATTTACCATGAATACAAGGTCTCAAAAATTCTCATCAATTAATGCACTGTTTGCAATTTATTGAAAAATATTTATATATTCTCAAAAATACAAAAGCATCGTGGCCTAATTTCATGGGTACTTTCAATAGATTTAATTATTTTTATACCCTGAACCCAATAAAAATGGGGAAGAAGGGTATATTGCGTTTGTGCAAAATGTAATTGTATGTAACAGGCAGAAGGAAGCATCTCAGACCCCATAAAGTATATATATTTTTATCAGCATCAATACCCAAGTCGATCTGGCCATGTCTGTCTGTTCGTCCCTCCGTCCGTCTGTTCGTCCCACCATCCGTCTGTCCGTCCGTCCGTGCATCCGTATGTATGAGTGCACGGATAACAGAAATTATAAGACCTAGAGACTTGAAATTTTATATGTAGGTCCTCCTAGTGCCCGCGCAGATCGATTATGTTTCCAATATTCGATAACTTGTCGCGTTTACAAGTAATCGATAAAAAGCGATATCGATAATCTGCTTTTGTTTTTTTTAGCAATTTTGGTAAATATTAAGAGCTAGAGTCACCAAACTTGATATGCTGCTTCTAGAATACTATATTCATATCAAGTATCTTTCTATTTAATACCTATCGCCACCTCCCCGCTGCCACCGCAGAGCTATATATCATGTTAATAACCCTACTTGTATTGCCAACCAATTTAAGCCACAATTGTAATGCAATTGACTCTATGCAATTTGCTCTGTGAGAATACAAAAATACACTATGGTACAATAAGACATACTCCAGAAAATTTCATGAAGATCGGTTAACAAACAAGTTTGCGGCAACAGCGCAAATTCGATGAATATCTGTATACATGTACACACGCACACGCACGGGTGGATTTTCTGAAAAGTGTGAATCACATATCATGATTTTCACAAACTACTTGGAAATTAATTTAAGCCCAAGATTTCGCCTTCCAATTTTGACTTCCATTCCCAACGAGCACGGGCAGATTGTCCAAAAAGAGTGAAACACCTCACACATGAATTTGAATAAATACCATTAACATTGGGTTTGATGCCTATTGGATGGTAAACAAAACACATTCCCAGTACCAGGTCTTAAAGTACACAAAGTTGTAAAAGAACATTTCTGCATCTATGGCTTTTCCCTTTGATACATTTGTATGACATATATATGATCTTAAAACCAATTGCCCAATTAAATTTTTTGTGTATGATTGTATCGAAGGATGAGGGAATGTTTGTGACGACAGCTCAGCTCTAGATTCAGGGAACCTCCATGTTGGGCACTAGAGCTTGTCTTCCTTGTTTTACTATATAAGAATGAATTTCAGATCAGCAGAGGCATACAAATTAATTACAAACGGACTTTTTCTCTACCGTTGCAGGTTTCACTACCATTGTTGTTTGAATAATGTCGTATGAAAAAATAACAACAATAGGTAAAAACGTATATGACAAATTATTATTAATGATATCTTTAGCAATCTCAACTAGTTTGGCATCAATTAATAAAGCAATTAAACTTTGTTCATAAGTTACTTGAGGCTTTCAAGCCAGCAATCTTTTGTGAGGCTATGCGGCAACTTAGCAGCAACTGCTGAAGGCAGGACAAAGGACAGCACCAGGGGTGCGAGCGAATGGCCAAACACCAAGTTACACTGCCCGTAAAAAATAGATAACAGTTTACAGCCTTACACTAGCAAAGCGGCAAAATGCAAAAGGAGAACAATGTAATGGCGGAAAACTGTCAATTCGTAGGTCCATATCGCTTGGAGAAGACACTTGGCAAGGGTCAAACTGGTAAGTTGCTAACAATAATTTTAATTTCTTTTTAGAAATTTTAAAAATATCTTTTAACTTTTTGGTTAGGTCTCGTCAAGCTAGGCGTACATTGTGTGATTGGAAAAAAGGTAGCCATTAAAATAATCAATCGTGAGAAACTTAGCGAATCAGTGCTCATGAAGGTAAGTATTGCAGTCCATTGCTTGTAAATTTTTATTATCAGATATTAGTCATAGATTATTTTGACATAAAATGTCTAAAGCATAAAAGCAGAGATCTCCGACCTAATAAAGTATATATATTTATCTGACTGTTTCTGTAATTTGTGAGCTAGATCAACTGAATTAGTTCTCTTAGCCGTCACACGCAATAGGAAAGGCTTTGGCAGCTGCTAATACCATATGTAGTTATATTGCTTCTTGGTCAATTGCTTTGGGTTGACCCGTGACATATTCAAGGTTCATTAACCTTGTCGATTGCATTCGTTTTTTACTTAGATATACTTGATTCACTGACTTTACAATTTATATTAGACTCAGCGACCGCGTCAAATTTTCTGCTTCTGTTTTCTTGAATAGAAGTGCTTGCCTGTGGGCTGTGGTAATTATTTTAGTATCAAACTTGAATCGTATAACGATGAACTCCTTAACTCTGTCTTTGTATAGAACATCATATTTTTTTAATAAATCCATAAGTACCTGTATCTAATACCTAACAAACTGCAGTTATCCACTCATGTGGACATGGAGCTATAAAATATTTATATTTAATTAAATAATTATTTAACTCTACTTAAAGCATCAACATTTTCTGTGATACTTAACGATACTCAATATTTGAATTTATGCATTACACTAAGTCGCAATATTTATCTTTGTTACTTGCATTTCTTGAAAGTCTGTAACGTGGCAAATACTTTTAATTCGTAAAAGACAAAATTATACTCAGTTGAGCCAGGTTCAGGTACTCTACCGAATGGTGGCACTTATCTTCGGGGTCTTTTTGCAATAAGAGAGTCTGTACCCAAACCACCATTAGAAGTGTACATACATCTACATACATATTTGCTTAATTAAAATCCCTAGAAACTGATAGAGGAGATGAACTAGATGCATTCGCAATATATTAATATTTGTTAAAATTCAAATTCAGAATTTCGCAGCAATCTTAAAATTGTGCTGGGGCTAAGGTACAAGGTGATTTGAGACGGCGAATAATGTATAATATTCGGTAAATTAAAATAACCTAATCTACTAACCTTTCGCAAAAAGTACAACAGATGAAGCGTACAAGACATTATGATGCAGTATTTGTCTTTCTAACCATTCCTTGATGTTTTTGATTTTCTCTTCACCATTTCACTGAAAAAGTGGAATTTTATGACAGTACTAATTTTATTTCGCCTTGACAAGAATCTTGGTTTTCTAAATTCAATACTTTGAACCTCAGGTTGATTCTCAGGTGTCGTAACATTGCCGCCAGAAACGTATAGACGATTTGCTGGCAAATATCCACAACCTTGATGAACAGTTGAGATTTGCACGTGAAACAGCGTATGTTTGATCGAACCAACTTATTATGCGGGGACGAACCAGACTGACCTGCATGGCAATATGTAACGTGCAGATGCGACATATATTCCTATACAAACTGAGAATTCCTTGCCAGCAACAACAGGTACTAGACTTCATTCGGAATGAGAACAAATAAGGAAGCCAATCTTCCGTGTCCTGATGAATAAGGATAATCGGTATTTATATGCGTAATGATTTTGAATTTAGAGTTTCAACCTTGTGAAGTAAATAATTTGGTTCTTGGTCGCCATGTAGAGCTACTGCTAATTTTCGCATTTTTGGTTTGGATAATCTAACTGATAGTTCAAAATGTGGACTCACGCCAAAAACTCTGATTCAAGCAGGAAAAGTTATTCAGAGAGCCAGATAGAACTGGTGGGATCCTTAATATCGCATCATCAGAAAACAATTCCAGCTGGGTAGACTTTCGTAGAGACATGCTGCTAGAGTGCAGCCTCCAACCATTATAGCCTTATCTAACATAAGCGTTTAAAGCACAAGTAACACGCGGTTTGAGACCACTCAATAAATGTTGAACCGCGCATGGTGTGTAGAATTACTTACCCTACATATGATGAACTTTTTGTATAATGGTGAAGTGATAATGGAATGTGGGAATGCCTTACAAAAATTGGTGTTCATCTTATGCATTTTAATACACACGTTTTACTAGCTACCCACTCGGGGAAAATTCTGAACTATCTACCGTATGTTGTACAGAAATGCTGATCAGCGTAATCCCTTACACAGTTTATAGTTATTATTATAGCCTTGTAGAGGGTAATATACATTTGTCGTGTAATGTCTAACGCATAGAAGGAAACATCTTCGACTGCACAAAGTACATATGTATATTCTTGATCAGTAGCAAGAGCCGAGTAGATATAACCATAGCATATAGCCATAGCAGTACATGTGTCGAAACCAGCTGGATCGGCTCACTATATCATACAGCTGTCATAGGAACAATCGGTCAAAAAGTAGGTTCTTGTATGAAAATTTTGTTTCGTTTTTCAAGATATCTTGGCCGAACTCAGTATTTATTAGTTTTACTATGACCCTCATGGTTCGGACCCCTATATAATATAGATGCCATAGGAACGATCAGTCGAAAATTAAGTTGTATGTAAAACTTTTTCATTTTTCATTTAGAAATTTCACTTAGCTTCAGTTTTGCTCCACCTACCTCTGCCATAAATAAACGTTTGTAAATCGCTCCCTATTACTGACACAAAAGTTAGTTCAAATTATCAAAGCCATTCTCAATGTCTCTTAACGGGTAAAGATATATTATAATTATTTAATTACTTAGAACTCTAACTCTAAGCTTTCTGATTGAAAAATTTGTTCTATAAGTTTTGACTCTGTATACATAGAACGCTCTATATATGCTGTGTTTTTCGGTTGAGCCCAAAAAAAATGTAGTGATCGATTTTCTAAAACCATAAATTACAAGTCTTCTGCAGGGTTAACATAAAAAAGTAGGCGTAGGCTTTGCTAGCCTTTCACATCTTTTGCTATAGTTTTCAAGCAGTTATTAGCTTCGGACAGAGGACAAGGCCCTTCATTAGCCTGAACTAATTTACGCAATAGCATTATAATTCGCATTCTCCATCCCGTTGTTTCAAGGTTGAGCGCGAAATAGCCATTATGAAACTAATCGATCATCCGCACGTGCTTGGTTTGAGCGATGTATATGAGAACAAAAAGTATTTGTATCTGATATTGGAGCATGTTTCTGGCGGTGAGCTTTTCGATTATCTCGTTAAAAAAGGTCGGCTTACGCCAAAGGAGGCACGCAAGTTTTTTAGGCAAATCATATCCGCGCTTGATTTCTGCCATTCACACTCCATATGGTAAGTACTAAATTACAGAAAAAAAAACAACTTATTTTTTAATGTCAACTTAACTTGTAGCCATCGGGACTTGAAGCCAGAGAATTTGCTGCTAGATGAAAAAAATAACATTAAAATAGCGGACTTTGGTATGGCCTCACTTCAACCAGCTGGTAGCATGTTGGAAACCTCGTGCGGATCACCACACTATGCCTGCCCAGAAGTCATACGGGTGAGTTTTGAATAAGTACAAAATTCTTTATGATTACCATTAAACCCTTTTTGATGTTTCCAAGTTTCCGATTTTATAACAAAGCAATCTAATGTTGTACCAAAGAAAGACTTTATATTGACTTGGGCAGTACTTAGTTAATGCTACTGCTAATATTATTATTAGAAGCCATTAAAAGACATGCTTTGCCAAAAAATCATCTTGATACTGAGGTGGCACGGAAACGTTTTCAATCATCAATTCCAATAAAATAAGAATTTTATAGCCACATAATTACTTAATTTAAATGATGATCGTGCACTAAAAAGTACAGATTCATTGAAGATAAAATACTCTTGTAAACACATTCCTGATTCAGATATGTAAGAATAGTGAAACTCGAAAATGCTGGGCTTGAAAAAAATAAAAAAAGCAAAATACAGAAAATCTTGGAATCTCCCCAAACTCGAGGCCAGCCAAAACATGTTTTCATTAATAACTTCTATGTTTCTTAACCGATCTTGATGAATATATACATTTGCATTCGCACAAAAACATGTTAGAGAGGAGCCCTACCAAGCTATCTATAGGATATTCCTGGATTACTCAGTATCAACTCATCTTAGTAAAAGTATTTGAAAATATAACTGGAATAATTCCATAAAATCCACAGACTTAGTGCTCCTGCCGGATCCTCGGGCTCGCTTGTATTAGTTAGGCGTATAATCGCAATGACCTTCATGGCATGTGTGCTACGGCTCAAAACAAATGTCCTCAGGACGAACGTGGTTAGATCAGAATATTGTGTCCCACATGATTTCGATCAGTGCAGACGAAGCCACAACAACTTGCTGCCACGCACGTGGCACGTGCATAGAAAGTGATATCTCCGACCCTATTAAGTATATATTTTCTATATCAGTATCAATAGCTGTTGATACGTGTTTCTGTTACAGGACCAATATTAATAAAAAACTTTTCTGTTTATTAAGGAACTTATTGAAAACGTGATACACAAAGTTTGCGTGAATGTTTTTATACCCTGAACCCATTAAAAATTGATATAAGGATAAGGAAATCCAAATGTATGTAACAGGCAGAAGGAAGCATCTCCGACCCCATAAAGTATATATATTCTTGATCAGCATCAATAGCCGAGTCGATCTAGCCATGTCCGTCTGTCTGTCCGTCCGTCCGTCCGTATGTATGAACGCAAGGATCTCAGAACCTATAAGAGCTAGAGACTTGAAATTGAAAATTGCCGAATTATAGCTCTGTCATTATATTAATAATGTAAAACCTCAATGCGTGCTTGGATGAAAATATCTTCGAAAAGAGAAATTTTGTAATACAAAAATTCTAGTTCTTTATAATACTAGTGGGTATATCCCGGCCTTGCCTGTGGGACGTATATAATAAATTCTCTCAAAATCTTTTTAAATGAGCTGGACACCGATCTGACGGTAAACAAAGCAAGTAAGAGGTTCTAATCGGGAGCTCCCGACTAGGGGATACCCTGAACCCTCTTCTTCCAACGTCAAATGCATATATATATATTCAATTTTAGAAGCTATATGTCAAGTTTGGTGACACTTGCTCCTATTATTTACCAAAATTGCCCATAAAACAGGATATCGATATCGATTTTTATCGATTGCTTGGAAACGGAGTAAGTTACCGATTGTCGGAAATAAACTCGATCTGCCCAGGAACTAGGAGCACATATATCTAAAATTTCAAGTCTCTTGCTCTTACAGGTTCTGAGATCCTTGCGTTCATACATACGCACGGACGGACAGACAGACGGACATGGCTAGATCGACTCGGCTATTGATGCTGATCAAGAATATATATACTTTATGGGGTCGGAAATGCTTCCTTCTGCCTGTTACATACATTTGGACTTTGCACAAATACAATATACCCTTATACCCATTTTTAATGGGTTCAGGGTATAAAAATCAAGTCATTCTTAGGAATATTAATATGAACATGGGATTATAATCTTCTATGTGTAGTTACTGTCCAGCTCTGATGCATTTATTGCCGGTCTTCATGAGGTTTGCTTATTGCAGGTTAATCCAGGGCATAAATTAACGAATGGCTTCGTTGGAATTGTGCGCGAATGAGCCGCATTCTGGCTGAAAACCTGCATATAACCTTGTGTTTTTTTATAGTCTATTTAGTTTAGTGTAAAGATATGTTATGCAGATATTTTTGAGCCCTATAAATGAGTTATGATATCGTGTGTCCTTTTTACTTACTACCCCTGACACGCTATCTGATAGTCTCATAGTGCATCAAGTCGGTGTCTGCTAAAGCTTCTGATCCCACTTTAGGCGCCTAGAGCTGAGGCTGTGCATGGTAGCCATTTAAACTGTTCATTCATGCCTTCCTTTTTCGGCACCTCCTAGAAGGTTTTTTTTGTTATTATTGAGCCAATAGAAAAGCTGTCAAAAATGGAAGCTTGGCAGTTTGGCAGTTTCTCCAGAGTGTGCTGCTCTACTCAGCGTATCAAGCTTAATATCTGTATCAGTGTATTGAAGAAAATCCATACTATTTACTTTTAACAGATATTCTGCAATAATATGATTGGAACAAAAGTGCGTCTCACAGCTTAACGAGACCTCAGAACTGGCATTATTGGATGAGCCATTGGAGTTCCACAGTCCAATATGTTTTCCCATTTTCATTATAAGCACAACTCGAATAAAAGTAGCATGATACAAAAAACTTGGTGTGCCGGTTGTCATAAAGCTTAAACAGAAAATGAATATTTAACTTATAACTTCACAATTTTTCGCAGGATAACATTTTTGCCATATTTTTTGAATGTCATATTTAAGGGCTTGATATCTATAAAAGTCGAACTTCCCATACATTGCGTACTTGATAATAAGTATGTGGGTGTATGTTTTGGTGTATTTATAAATGAAAGAAAGATCGAACTGTTGTAAGGGTAGCCTTAAACAGGCTGTTTACTATACGTCAGTTATTTTTAAATTGCGGATACAATGGCTTTTTACGGCATTTCAACGGTTAGGCCTTTAGGAAAACCTTTAGTCCACATTTTATACTTATTTATATTTCAAAGCTCCCATTGTTCCGAGTTGACAAATCATATTACTTAGCTTATTTACTTTACTTTCTTTTTCGTTGCTGCCATAAGGGTGAAAAATATGATGGACGCAAGGCAGACGTATGGTCTTGTGGTGTCATACTGTATGCCTTACTGGTTGGTGCGTTGCCCTTCGATGATGATAACTTGCGCCAGCTGCTAGAGAAAGTGAAACGAGGAGTGTTCCATATTCCGCATTTCGTTCCACCCGACTGCCAAAGCTTACTACGCGGTATGATTGAAGTTAATCCAGATAGACGGCTAACGGTAAGTTACAATTGATATATTAACCTGTATAATAATCAGACACCAGTCTAAAGGGTTTGTTACCAACTAGAATATGTTTTTTTTTTAATATTTAAGATTTATCAGAAAAAATTGGTCTGCTAAAAAGTGGGCTTTTATACAAAATCTGAGTTTTTATATACATGCTCATGTTTGATTGAATCTTTATATAAAGCTATATATAAGTCCGACCTGATAATATTTTGCACATATTAAAAAATTGGTAATGATGACTTGAAAACAGAAAAACATCCATCTTAAGGCAGTTATATATATTCTTGATATTGTTGATTAACGCAACCATAAGAAGTAGGAAGTTAAAATGTGGACTTTAGTTACCTTAAGGGGTTTTTACTAAATTCCACTCGCAAGTTAGGAAAAAACGCGAAAAACGTTGGGATACAACTCATTTTTTGCCATCCGATTGGTTAAATTTATTCTAATTTCATGCATCTATACGAAAATTCATTTGAGATAAGTAGCATACTTTTTGCAGAATTCAAATATTTTGAGATAAGTTTTGAGATCATTATAATTTGCTTCCAACATATTTTCCAAGCCCTACATAAACATAAAATGAATTCGTAGTCAGCGATTTTGTAAACAGTAACAGTAACAGTAAAATTTTGCGGAAAAATTGTGAAGGTTGATTTGATACGTTTTCCGCTTTTGGATAGAAAATGCAGGTCTAAACGTTAATGAACAAAGGTTTACTTTTCGCCTTCAAGTTTTTTACCACAAGACTAACATGGGTGAAAACCATTGATTTCAACATTTGGATCATCATAGAATGGATTTTAAATAAATTTCAAACGTGGAGCTCAAGATACGGGCTGGTTTCAATTTTCCACAAAATCGATCTTTACTCTCACCTTCTCAAACTTCAATGCTTGAAAATCTTTTTATGGGCTCTTCTTTTGTCCAATTTGTACATCTGTCTACTTTTAGAAATTTGTTTTGAATCCACCATCTTTGATTGTCAATCGAATAACTTCCACCCTTACTCAATTGATATTTCTGTTTATATTCAACACCTATTTTTATAAGGATAATGAATTGTGTTGTAAGATTTAAGTTTTTAATTACCAAACATCTCTCCCCGTTAAAATTTCGTGTCCCTCGAAAACAGCGGAACTCTTTAGAATAAACCCTTCATTGTTTTAAGTTCAATCCATTTTGATAGAACACAAGTTATTGTTTTGTTAACTATTACTGTCATTTGATTTTATTTGTCAGGATGGTTTTTCATATTCATTCATTCTGTGTCAGTGATAACTGTGACAGTTACAAACAAGTAAGAGGTTATAGTCTAGGGAATACCCTGAACCTTCTTATTCCAACACCAAATAAATTTAAAATAAAAAGTTCCCTTGGCAGGATTCGAACTCGCAACTGACCGCATTACTTGCTGTCGACTCTACTCAACAGCCACACCAGCAATAAAAAATAAGTAAGAGGTTCTAGTTGGGAGCTCCCGACTAGGGGATACCCTAAACCCTCTTCTTCCAACATGAAATGCATATATATATTATATTTTAGAAGCTATATGTCAAGTTTGGTGACTCTAACTCTTATTATTTACCAAAATTGCTCTAAAACAGGATATCGGTATCGATTTTAATCGATTGCTTGGAAACGGAGTAAGTTATCGATTATCGGAAACAAACTCGATCTGCGCAGGCACTAGGAGCACCTACATCTAAGAATTTAATCTCTAGCTCATATAGGTTCTGAGATCCTTGCGTTCATACATACAGACAGTCGGACAGACAGACAGACGAACATGGCTAGATCGACTCGGCTATTGATGCTGATCAATATATATATACTTTATGGGGTCGGAGATGCTTCCTTCTGCCTGCTACATACATTTCGATTTTGCACAAATACAATATACCCTTATACCCATTTTTAATAGGTTCAGTATTAAAATATCAGCGACATTTAACAGAGGCTGTTAGCTGAATTTTTGGCTCGCAGGTTTAATAAACAACATTATATAAGTAAACCAAATAATGTTATTATACCATTAACTAATTGAACATGGGAAAAAAAAAGGTATAATGTGTGTGGGTTGGGTATAGCTGTATATCTAAATCCCACTGTGCACAACCAACAGCACAAGAATCCCTAGACAACGAACACCCAAAAAGATGAACGACGAATACACGACGCTTAACAACGAGCAAAGAAGATAACGTTTTTTGTTTACTATCCAATCGGACTCAAACTCATTTTCAAAAATCTTTTTCGGAATTTATCTGTTGAGTGTTTGGCACTTTCTGGAAAATTCATTCCGCATTGATGAAAATGCGATTCAAAGATATGGTGGGTGGCGTTTCACCGTCAAAATCATGTATGTTTTACATTTTTGGCAATTTTAAAACATTCTCGGTAAGAACTGAAATTTAATGATTTTTTTGGTGTTGTTTTAAGTTTTTTTGCGATTTTCTACAATTTTATTTTCAAAGCTCTACAGAACTTAATAAATACGTATTTCAGCGATTTGGCAAATTCACCCGCAAAAGTGGTAAATTGGCGAATAACCGTTGTACGGAAGTTGTTTGTTTACCCAGCGATCAGTGTAAAAATAATTTTTAAACACTTTTTGAGAAAATTTATTTTATACGTACCCCGGGCAAGGCTGGATTATACCATCTAAATAGTATTATAAGTGAACTATGTGTTCTGAAAGGTATCTGGACAGTAGTGATCGGATGTAGTAGCCAAACTCTATTGAAAATCCTTTCCCTTAACCCTTTTGTAGTTTTTCTGCTAAGGAAGTGACGAGACGCATGTAGTCGCCTTTGACTCATATTTATTATATTTATTGTATTAAGTGATCACACAAATTGATGTTGGAGTTGGTCATGTTAAAGAGCTTTCTGACCTCCCTTCCCTTAAAATCCAAATTCAACCAGGGAGCCCTACGGTTGTGCAGATATATGGACTTTATGACTGATAGAAGGTGAGAAGAAAATATTAGAATTGATCAGTTGCCATGTCCATTCCTAATAGAATTAAAACAAGTAAGAGGATCAGTACTCGAAGTTGCAACTGACCGCATTACTTACTGTCGACTCTACTTAACAGCCACACCAGCAAAAAAAAAATAAATAATAATACTTTCCCCGGTATGGCTCGAACTCGCGACAGACCCCACCACATGCTATGCCTCTACTCAGCAGCCACACCAACAATTAAGTACTTATGATAAAAAAGGAACTAAAATAACATTACAAAAAAAAGATGCAATTACAATATAAACACTGTTTATATTGTCTATGCCATTACCATGTTATTAGAATGCGAAGCAGACGCGCATGAATGTGTGTGTGTACATGTATACAGAAATTCTTAAAGCTGCTGCCCCATTCAATTGCGCAGTTGCATATAACTTTTGTTTTTCTCAACCGAACTTTATGATATTTTCTACAGTATATCTTATTGTACCATAGAATATTTGTGTATTCTGAAAAAATCAATTGCATTTAAATTGTGGTTTAAATTGGTTGGCAATAAAATTTGGGTTATTTACTTGATTTATAGCTGTGTGGTGGTAGCGGGGAGGTGGCGATAGGTATGAAATTAAAGATACTTGAAATATCTATAATATTCTAGCTCTTATTATTCACCCAATTTGCTAAAAAAAAAACAGGATGTCGATATCGATTTTTATCGATTGCTTGGAAACGGAGTAAGTTATTAGTTAGATTATCGGAAACAAACTCGATCTGCGCGGGAACTAGGAGCATCTACATCTAAAATTTCAAGTCTCTAGCTCTTATAGGTTCTGAGATCCTTGAGCTCATACATACGGACGGACGGACGGACGGACAGACTTACGGACTTTTTAATGGGTTCAGGGTATAAAAATACGAAATTATTTTCCTGGAAGTATAGATACTTTTTAGATGCTAGCTTAGCCGGATGTAACCGGATGTACGAAAAATGGTAAAGTAAATTATCTATTCCATGACAGCAATAATGATGGGAAAGATGACCACGATATACCGAAAAATTTGATTGCTAATCATTAGATTGATTGAAAATCAAGACCTGAGATCTCAGGGAGTCCCAGAAGAAAAACCACCTTAAAGGTGTAAATTACGCACAGAACAAATGATTACTGCAGTACCTCCTCGGAGGTTGTCACAAGAGGGGTTGGCCCCATCATAGCCATGTATGTGTAACAAGGAGCGTATGTTTAATTGACCTTCCAATATATGTCATATTACGGCCCTTCAGGGAAGTGCATTAAGCCAGTGGCGCTTTAGATGTCTTGTTTATAATTATACCTCGCAATGCGAGGACGCTGGGAGGACTCGATATTGCGCTCAAGCTGTTGGTTCCAGTTGTCTACACAGCCCATCAATACAGCTAAGAAGCCTGTCTTGATCAGTTTAACCAGCCGGAAGCGACAGCAGAGATTCATGAGTGCCAGATGCAGAATTTATCATTCTGGCTGCACGATCTTTCCAGTGAATCGAGTTAAACGCTGAAGGGGGTTGGTGCCAGCCTGCTAATAGGCACTTGCGCTTGCACTTCATTATCGCGTCAAATATTTTAAACACGGCACGCCAATCATAAGTATTAAAACCTGATTTATAACTTATGTATTTTAAATATCGAGTTTCTAGCTGTAATAGTCTGCGAGACCAAGGTTAATAACAACTTATTGTCTAATATACATATGTGTACACATTGCAGTTGGCTGAAATAAATCGTCATGCCTGGGTCACGGCTGGTGGAAAAGGTGAGCTGGAATTGGAACTGCCCATGATGGAGGTGGTGCAGACACATGTCATACCAACGGCGACCGCTGTAGATCCGGATGTTTTAAATGCCATATGCTCACTGGGCTGTTTTAAGGAGAAAGATAAACTGTTGCAGGAACTGCTGAGTGCCAGGTATTGCCTAAATATCCTTAAATTACAATTACGTTCTTAAATTATGCTTTACAGCCACAATACCGAAAAGGTTATTTACTTTCTACTTCTGGAGCGCAAGCGGCGCCGTCCTGCACTGGAGGATGATGAAGAAATTGCACTAAAATCACGCAGCGAACTAGATGCAGTGGATCCACCACGCAAGCGGTTGGACAAGTGTCGTATTAATGGCACTAATGCGCCCAGCTACGGACAGATTTCTGAGGGTTCACCATTGACGCCGCGACGGCAGGCCTTCAAGTTAGTTGGTCGAAGTCCTCTTAATACTCTTCACTAACTGTCGTTATAATCTGTTTACAGCTTTCGATCATACAGCAGCACACGTAACCATCAACGACGCTCACCAACGACTGTGTCAACGTCGGTACGCAGCTCTTCATATCACAGTCCAACTCGTTGCAACTCACCAATGAGCTTAACGCAGCAGCAGGCAAATGCGATATCGCGGCCAACCTCACCTGCAGCAGGATCACGCCATTCAACCTACGGCGATCGAGAGCGTTCCGGATCGGTACATCATACTTCGGTTAGTCGAACACCATCTCACAGTTCACAGAAAAGCATTGAGGGCGATGTGATAGTCGTCAGGGAGCCGCGCCTTGAGCGTCGTGATTCGGCTCGCCAAGCGCAGGAACGCAGTGGTGGTGGCTCTCCGCGAGAGCGTGGAGATTGTGTCCCATTGTCTAAAAGTCCAGTGGGCGATTCGTGTGGCAATTCCGCGGCAGCTTTACCCTCGGTGCATCATCGCGCCACCTCAGGTCCAACAATTGCAATTGGTATGTATGGATGACCCATAGATCCTTTGCGTTAGCTTTTTCTTTAAACCCAGCAACTTACTATATGTATATATATTTTTTTTTTTATATAGTTGTAAATCCTAATGGATCGCCGTTGCTTAACAATAGTAGTCCTGGTATGCCTGGCTCGCCCTGTAATACGCCTGGAGGGCAGCTCTGGAAAACCCGACTCACCAACATTAAGAACAGCTTTCTTGGCAGTCCGCGTTTTCATCGGAGGAAAATGCAGGGTAAGCTTGCAATATATTCTTATATATAGTATTTGGACTTATTAACTTGTTTATATTTCAGTCTCCGCTGATGAGGTGCATTTAACGCCAGAATCATCGCCAGAGCTTACCAAACGCTCCTGGTTTGGTAACTTGATAACAACGGAAAAGGATGAAACATTCACCATATTGGTGAAGGGCAAACCAATTGCAACCGTCAAGGCTCATTTGATACATGCATTTTTATCCGTAAGCCTTCTATTAAACTTTAATTTAAAGTCTACATTAAATTTATCAATTCTCATATTCGGACTTACAAAATTATACAAATATGCCATAATTAAAAGACAGATCCGTTACCTCTATGCTTAATGTTACCCTATCGTCCGTAAATATGAACATATCGATATTAAATGCGAAAGCTATTAATCACGAATTAATCCAATAACCGCATATTTTATTATGTATAAATATACACTAGAAAGCAATGCATCAGTTTATTTTTCAATTCTGTTTTTTTAAGAGACAACAATTATTGGTTTTTATACCCTTGCAGAGGGTGTTATAATTTTGTCGTGAAAAGTGCAATGCAAAAAAGAAGCCATCTTCAACCCTATAAAGTGTATATATCAGTATCTTGATCAGTACTATAAGTCTAGTCGATATAGCCGTGTCCGTCTGTCAGTTAGTCTGTTCGAAAATTAAGTTGTTGTATAAAACACATTTTTGTTAATCAAGATATCCAAACTCTTCATTTATGACTTTTGGTATGGTAGTTTTGGTATCATATATATGCAAAATCCTATCAAAATCAACGTAGGAACGATCTGTCGAAAAGTATGCTCTTGTATACAAAACTTATTTGTTTAAAAACTTATTTGTTTATCAAGATATCTTGACGAAATTCGGCTTTAACCATTTTCCCTGTGCTACTTGGATACGGGCAAAGCACTATTATTATTATATCATAGTTAGCTATAATGCATAAAATAATATAATATTGTTTTTTTTTTAAAATTAAATTAAAAATGGGTATTAGGGTATATTGTATTTGTGCGAAATCCAAATGTATGTAACAGGCAGAAGGAAGCATCTCCGACCCAATAAAGTATATATATTCTTGATCAACATCAATAGACGAGTCGATCTAGCCATGTCCGTCTGTCTGTCTGTCCTTCCGTCCGTCCGTATGTATGAACGTAAGGATCTCAGAACCTATAAGAGGTAGATACTTGAAATTTCAAATGTAGGTGCTCCTAGCTCCCGCGCAGATCGAGTTTATTTCCGATAATCGATAACTTACTCCGTTTCCAAGCAATCGATAAAAATCGATATCGATATCCAGTTTTTTGGGAAATTTCGGTAAATAATATTTGCTAGAGTCACCAAACTTGACATATAGCTTCTAAAACAAAATATATATATGCATTTGATGTTGAAGGAAGAGGGTTTAGAGTATCCCCTAGTCGGGATCTATCGACTAGAAACTCTTACTTGTTTATTTTAAACTAATAATAGAGAACTTTAATTAGCGGCATATGTATTTTGACAAAATCTGGTTTATCAACTAAATTAAATCTAATATTTAATAAATTCAATTTAATGTAAAGTTAATGAGAAATAAATCCTCCTTTGGTATGTAGGACCTTTTGGAGATGGTTCAGAACGTAATCCACTGAGGTTTGGATGTTAACGTTTAATTGCATTTTGACCTTACTGATCGTTTCGTGCCTTGTCCTAGTCAGATTGGCGGTTGCATTTTGCTTTATTAGCGACGAAATGTAAATGTATGTAACAGGCAAAAGGAAGCATCTCCGACCTCATAAAGTGTATGTATTCTTGATCAGCATCTACAGTGGAGTCGAACTAGGCATGTCCGTCTGAATGTCCGAACGTATGAACGCAAGGATATCAGAGCCTAGAAGAGCTAGAGACTTTTAACTGTAGTTCCTCCTAGTGCCTGCGCAGATTGAATTTGTTTCCGATAATCGATAACCTACTCCGTTTCCAAACCCAACTTATAATGCCCACCAATTTAAGACACAATTTTAATGCAATTGACTTTTTGAGAATTCAAAAATATTCTATATTTATTGTTATATACTGTAATAATACTGAAAGAAATTTGATGAGGATCGGTTGAGAAAAAAACTTACATGTTTTGATTGCGCACGGGTTAGCAGCAGCTAGAGCAAATACCAAGAATTTCTGTATACATGTATACACACATTCCTGTGCGCTTGCTTTGACTTCCATCAATAGCATCGCAAAACCAATTGTTTCTGTGCTGCTATTTTAATTTGATTTGTTTTTTTCTCAATAAGACTCAATTATTGCAGTGGCTGTCGAGAAGAGGCAATGCAAGTGGTGCGGTCTGTCGCGAGGTTCAGCCCAACCGGGGACCTTTTCTTTTTTGGCTGGTGTGGCTGTTGAATAGAGTCAATAGCAAGTAATGCGGTTAGTTGCAAGTTCAGACCCAGCCAAGGAAACTTTTTGTTAAATTTGTCTTTATTACTTCAATCGAGCGCGTTACGCGAGCTGCATTTGGTATTGGAATAAAAGGGTTTAGGGTATTCCCTAGTCGGGAGGTCCCGGCTAGAACCTCTTACATGTTAATATTAAATCCACGGGATTATCGGATAATAAGGAAGATTTCTCAAAAACGTTTTAAATAACATCTTGAACTTGCGAAAAAAAAACTTTATCACTCGATGTCAAAAATCGTGTGCCACTGCAGTAGGCGTTGTTTTCGCCAAATTACTGATATTAATGTGCATTTCACTGTGATCATCATTTTCGTTTCTTTGAGTATAACAGTACTTATCAAAATAAATTAATAGAAAAATACAAGTTATGTCAAAATATATATGCCGACTTGTGTATTCAAAATATTTGATATTATTAATAGGTGCCAAACTGCCTTAAATTAAATTGATTACTGTTGAAACGTTCATAACTTGACCATCAACTAGCAGTATCGCTTTAGACAAATTGACTAAAATATGCCCTGAACCCAGCCCAAAGCTGCCGTTACGAATGTAAATGCTCTTGTATGTATACATTCACAGGTAGCCTAGTACCTTTTGGTTTATGTATGTAAGTATAGAAAGAATTTAGTGTTTAGTGTAACGCCATCTCAGCGGTGGACGCTCTCTTAATATACTCTGAACTAGGAGCATAGCTCTAAGTCTCGTGAACTCAAAAATCAAGCTAAAAACACACTTGACATAATTCGTTAAGAATTCATATCTTTCACCAAAGAATTAGTCGAACAAAGTAAGAGCACACTAGTCAAGATGCATTGATTCCTAACTGATTTTTGTGAAATTTTCTGCAGTTCATTTAATTGTGCACCGGAATAAATTTAAGACCCTGTAGGCATTGGTTAAGCGGTTGCATTCGATCTAGCTCTACGACATTTCATGAGATCAAACATTAAGAAATTAAAATTAATACTTATGTTAAAAATTTGATCTAAATGCCAAATAAAATTTTTGAAAAACCAAGAAATTCCCTAGAAATGGATATAATAGTCATTACGAACATAATCGATTAATAACAGGTAGGAAACTGACAAGTATAATTAAGGAAAATAATGCTAATTGAATGATGTGCTAGTTTTTCTTTATTATTTTAACTAGGTGTATTTAAATTGATCAAATTTCAGATGGCAGAATTATCTCATAGTGTAGTTTCACCCACATCGTTCCGCGTGGAGTATAAGCGCAACGGAAACGGGTCAGTTATGTTTCAACGTCATGTCAAATTTCAGGTATGTAAGCATATTTCATAGCCCCTTCCTAAATAATATTAAATTTTCTTTGAAATAGGTTGATATTAGTCCCATTTGTAAGCAAGGTGATATTGCAGATATGCTATTTGCTTTAACGTTTACACTGCTATCAGGTTAGTATATCTTAAAACTAGTTGGAATAATTTTTCACAGAAATGTTTGTATAAAGGCAACATTAGGCGATTTCGACGAATTTGCGAGCACATACAATCCCAGGTCTGTTCTAAACGTTATCCGGGTCCAAGCAGTCCACCAACAGTAGCCTCAGTCACTCAAGCGGTCTCAGAAAGCTCCTCCTGTGGATCTGTGTCGAGCGAACGATTGTCTTATAAGCGACAGGTGGTGAGTTTTACTGTGTATACCTTTTTAAAAAGTGCAAGGCACTTAAATAGTGACTATCACATTCATAAAAGCAATATTATCAAGCTGATGACTGTCCTTTGCAGATTGAAAATGATCTGGAAAATGATTCAATATTTTCGTACAAATCGGGAAGTGGACGTCGGGCTTCCACGACGAATAACAACAATGCCAATGTTGTGGATGTATCTGGGAGTCCAATTGCAGTGCGTTCAAAGTAAGTGATGCCCAATTTAAATTAAACGACTGTTTATTAATCTTAGTTTCCCAAAGTTCTGAAACAGCTGAGCACGACCGCAACCGTAAGCTGCAGAGTGATCGACAGGCGACAACGATGTCCGGGAGTGCAATTGCATGAGAATTATTTCTCTGATTTAGTTACGTTTTTTCCAAAAATATTTATTTTAAACTACCACACAATAAAACCCTTTATTATAATTAAGTCATCAAATGGAACAAATGATAAATTGAACCTCTATTTCTTTGAAAATACTTACATTAGAAGTAACATGAAAGCAATAATGGTGGAACTTGAAAATTGTTTAAAAATCTTGCATACTCTTATAAAATCTAACAAAACAAAAATTTACTTTTTGAAAGCTTCTATTATGAAAGCGGAAGGCTTTGAGCTGGAATAAGTTTGTTTGCTATTTGAATATATTTAATTAATGTTTTATGCCTTTTAATAATTTTTTTTTGTATGAATATTGTTGCCGCCGCACTTATCAAGCTTACGAAAAAACTAAAAAAAAAATCATGTAAAAAATAACAATTAAAAATCATATATAAGAAAATTTAAAATGTTACCAAGAGCTATTGTATGAGCCAGCTTAAATCACAATGTTAAACTTTGGAATACTCATAATATAGTCTAGGAATGCTATTAACTATAATATTAGCTATGCAAATTCAATAATACTTACTTAAACTAAATGCCTAACATTTTTATAATGTCTTAAAACAAATTATTCAAAAATGCGGTGTAGATTGACTAAACCAACCAAAAAATGTATTTGCATAGGCATCTTATTGCTGTTCTTATAAGAAAATAATGCTTGCCACGAATAAAGGAAAACAAGCAAATAAATAAGCCTACACCGCAAACTTTTTCCAAAGCTGTAAACAAAACAAGAAGTGTGTAAACGATAGCCCTTGCAGATATGCCATATATTTCTATACGTAGCCACACGATGGTGGTTTTAAGAAATTACACAAGTTAAGGCTTATACTCCTGTGGGTGCCATAATATAAAATTGTGAGATGTTGATTGTGTTTTTGGTAACCTTCAATGACTCATAAGAAAGATGTTGTTTCGACCTACAGTTGACACGGAATTTAAATATCTTTTGTGCAAAGCTATGATAATATGCATAAAATATGTGGAGTCCGTGCTTCTGTTTCCCATAGCAAAGAACAAATCTTAGTAGTTACCATTACAAGGGACGGATAGGTATCTAAGAAGTAAAATATTCAGGATCTGCCACTATAGAGTTTGCAAATCCGTTGTATTGCGTTATCTAATGGCTCTAAAAAGTAAAAATTTAGGATTACCTATGAAATCACATAAGAATTAATGTATGTTGTCATTCTGAGAATATACGAATAATCTATGGCAAAATAATACTAACTCCAGCCCTTTTTCATCAGGATCGGTTAAGAAATACAGAATTTTAAATGAAAACGTAAGCAAGATTTGGCAGGAATTCGGACTCATACATTCATTCTTTTTGGAAATCTTTAAGTATAATTGCGATTGCGATTAATTGGGGGTGACAAGCTCGGTATCGGTGAAGAAAGCTAAATTTTTGTATTTAAAATTTTATTTTTCTTGTATGCTAGACTTACCACAATATATATTATACGACACATTATATGAAAACCAAATGTTCCTTGCACTACGCGCTCGCTTCCCTTGACCTTACACTCTTTTTTTAATGCGATTAACAAGCATTTAAAAATATAAGGCTGGCCTACCGGTGTCCAACTCGTCACCTTCCTCGTCAGACCCGAGTTCAGTTGTAAACAAAAATAATCTGAATTAAAACAGCAGTATATACAGCAGTACACACAGTACAGCTTACAATACATTTAAAAATACATTTGTACATTTAAAATACATTTACAACAAGTAAGAGGTTCTAGTCGGGAGCTCCCGACTAGGGGATACTCTGAAAACTCTTCTTCCAACATCAAATGCATATATATTCTATTTTAGAAACTATATGTCAAGTTTTGTGACTCTAGCTCTTATTATTTACAAAAATTGCCCAAAAAACAGGATATCGACATCGATTTTTATCGATTGCTTGGAAACGGAGTAAGTTATCGATTATCGGAAACAAACTCGATCTGCGCGGGCCCTAGGAGCAACTACATTTAAAATTTCAAGTCTCTAGCTCTTATAGGTTCTTAGATCCTTGCGGACGGACGGACAGACAGACGGACATGGCTAGATCGACTCGGCTATTGATGCCAATATTTCCACACAATTTCGATAATAACCTCTGCGTTTCTTAACCGATCTTTTCAGTAGCATATATTATTGTGCTTAACAATATATTTGTATAAAAATAAAATTAATTTCTGATTGGTTGGAAAATGGGTCAGGCTATTGATTATAGGAAACAAACTCGTAAAGCGCGGGAAACCTCTAGCTCTTATAGATTCTGAGATCGACGCGTGCATACATACGGATAGACAGAAATCGATAGCTTGTCTCGGCTATTAAAACCGACCAAAAATATATGTTTTTTGGTGCGGGTGGAATGTTCCCATACTCTGTCTTACAGCGCACCTTGATCGCATAAAGTATCTAAGGTTCCAATTTCATTATTCTAGTCCTAACGGTTCGGACCAACTTTTATACTTTATTTAAATAGATTCTCGTATGTATCCGAGGATATCAATTTTTTCAATACGCCGTCCCATTTTAATAGTATTTATAAGAACTGATTTGGAGACCTGGCTTGCTATGCAAAAATACAACTGAAAAGAGCTAGATACGCGAAACTTGAAATTTATTTCCTCGAATAGTATAGACAGAAAGAAAATTTTACTGTTTTAACACCTCCCCCTATCCTTCAGAATTTAGCACAAACTTATTTTTCAAAAAAAGTCAAAAGTCGTGGACTTTGGTATATATACTCATTTGTAGACCGTATTTATGTCCTTAGACTGTCCTTAGAACCTATAAACACTAAAATTAATGGTGAATGCATTTGCATTGAATGCAAAAGGAAGAAGAAGCATAGGCGCTGATCGTCCTGATTTATATGTTAGTTTTTGTGTATGTGTGTCTAAAAATATGGTGTATTGTAGTTTGACTCTCGCGTCCAGAATATTCCTACTTGATATAGAACATTTTTGTGTGACCACATGTTCCGTGCCCATAAATTGGAAAACTTTCTTTCCTATTCTAAGATAAATAAGCCAGACGACGAGCTGAATAATCTAGATAAGCCGGACGACGAGGGAAGATGTTTTTGCTTTTACTCCACTCGTATTCCATTTAATGCCCTGAATTACCATTAACTTAGGACAATAATCACCGGGGTAATGGAAAACCCGTATCCCAAATCGCAGAGTAAGGACGCACAGCTGCTGCATAACGTGCGCAGTTCGCGAAGTGATATGGCTATCTGTTTATATGTGGTATCTCCAAATAGTAACATTATTGTGTGGTATAGTAATAAGGTTGGGGTTAAGAAAGGAAGATGTGCATTCATTGGGTAAATTGCGCGGATTGTGACGTGCATACTTGTAGGTGTACATTCCCGATTTGGACTTAATCTCATGACCTATCAAATCCTTTTTTCTATACGCCGCCCATTACATACCCCGAGTAAGGAAGAAAATTATTATTCAAACGATTCTCCTTGCAGATGCAAGCTTCTCTTACCACAACTAAGGGAATAATTTGCATAGACACAGGCAACGGCCAGTAGGTAATAGCTTTATCGACTGAAGTTGATAATGATAAAGAAAACACCATTCATTCATTTGACACCTGTCCCAGCTCACAACGCAAGATATTGAAGAAACCGCGTTTATACTTAGTTGTCAATTGAGTATCAGCTTATAGAAACAAATTTGAAATTATCATGAGATATATACAAGATATCAATATGGTCTTATAAGCCAAAAAAATACATAACGAATGGTTAAAAAAACATTCCCGTTTAATGTCTCTAAGAAACGTCCTTTGTTATGTATAATTCCTTGGAAAATTACTATACCCTCTGTAAGGATACACACTTAGAACACGGATACATAAGTGTGTATACCCCAGTTTTAATTTTAACATTTTCTAAAACAACTTCGCCTTCTTAACGATTTCAATCAATTTTTTTATTTGGTAAATATAATCAAAATGGCAATAACCCATCGATTACATGGGTAATGATGACAAAAATGGATTGCCTAGCTCTTTTAATCTATAATATAAATGTACAAAAACGTGTGTTTATGAATATTTTCATCGGCTTATAAAGTCAGTAGTCCTCTTAGTTCACCCTGGCTGATGGAGAAGAGCATATATGTATATACCTTTTTTAACTGAGCATAATTCGTTTTGCATAATTTATATGTTTATTGTTATATGTGAGTTGCAGCATACATTTACAAAAAAAAACAAATACAGAAAATCTCAAAGATACCAAACATACCAGCCCCGATAGCTAGAGTTAGATTTTCCGAGAAGTGTGAAACACCTCCAAAATTTAGTTTCATTGTAATCTTTTTTAATGCGTTGCATCTCGAACTTACGAAATGTATTTTCACAAATATTTGAAAATGAGTTTAAAACCTGACGGATACTAAAAAAAATGTTACAATTGTTATGCCTACATATATTTATGTTATTTTCTAAAAAACCTTTAAGCATTAGCAACTTAAATGACATTATATGTACAATTTTCGGGTTTCTAGCTCTTTGTGCATTCATCGCCAATCAGTGGGTCAGTAAGGATACAGAGTTTTATATACATATGGCATACACAGACACACCTATACGGGTAACTAGCTCTTACAATCCCTGAGATATGATTAGACGACGGACATAACTTGATCGACTTAGCTTGTCGTCCTGTTCTGCATCGGCTCGGAGATGTTGCCTTCTGTCTTCTCATATACACTTGCACAAAACTCCAGTCTCCATAAACCAATTTCAAAGGGTACACGGTATCATTCCTGGATATCTTACAACTGACTTAAAAATTTTTAAAAATTAAAATAAAGCAAATCCAAACAGCAACCGTCCATTTTTCCAGCTTAATTCAAACAACTTGAAAGTTGGCAACTAACAACAAAACTTACTTACGTCTAATATGTATGTTAGCAATACAAAAGTTATAATGAGGCAGTAGGAATACACTGTAACACGGAAATAAAGTAACGTTTTTTATTTGTGTGGAGTAGGCTATTCCCTTTCAAATAGACGAAACTTTTAAAAACTCTAATTTTCTAAGTTTTGCAATATTAGAGCGCAGTTGGGCATGACACCTATATTTCTTTTTGAGGAGAACAGAAATAAAATAAAAAAAATACATCGAAAAATTCAAAAGGAAGGAAAAGCGATTGTTTAAAATATAATATGGAATATTTAGCAAGTAAGCGACACTGAAATGAACAAAATCAACAATTACGAAAATAAGCATATTTTGTATGAACATGAAAATTATCACACATCAGTTTATATATATGCTAAAGTATATATGTATGTATATACATAAATAAATACCTTAGGAAAACCCCATTGAGTAATAAAAAGGAGCATGTATGTATTTAAATACTCAACGGAAACACCCAAACTGACAAAGAACTCGCGCAATAATATCGGAATGGAATTACTTAGATTGTTATCAATCATACTCAATCAATACGACTTACATTTAAGATTAAACTCACCGAATTAAACTAAAACCATTGTATATATTTTCCAAGCGCTCTTTATACGATGCAAATCAGATACACCTCTTTTGCAATACCTGTGTGCATGCGTGCCACATTTCCTGACAGTGTAACAGTATCTAGCTATATTCACATGTAGATCTTTAACTATTCAGTCTATTCGGAGCCTGAATTCACACAATATTTTGCATGATTGCGGAGTGAAAATAGTCATATTTTAATTAAATTTGACAAATTTTAAATGTCGATAACCGAAATTATTAGTTGCAAAACGCAACTTTGGATAGACCACACAATATCTCGCTCGCATCGTTGTTTTAAAAATGTATATTTCACTTAATTTTTGATTAGTTTCTTTCTAGCAGAAGAATCGTCCAATATTAAAAAGTCAAATATACATCATATACGGATATAATTAACAAACACATGACGAAACTTCAAATAAGAACAGGTATTTGGCAAACGTAGGTGGACTTGGCTTGAATCATTTTAGACTGGTATTTTTACATAATTTTAATTGATCGTTTTCATGAAATTATGTTGTTACATTGTTGTGTTTTACTTAAAGAAGAGAATGCAGAGTTGTGTTTATGGTGCCGAAGATTTTTACCCTTACGGAGATGTAGCGATGTATTTATTTAGTAAATTATACAGAAGCACGACATAGTCCGTATTCCGATGTTGTTCGATTTTGCTTAAGTGTATGTTTTAGCAGAGTAAAGCTAGCTGAATGAAATTCTGAATATGGCATAGTGACGAAAAAAAAAGAGTGGCCATCTCCGTTTTGTGTACTGTTTGCATTCACAGCCTAAGTCCAAGATGCATCACAAGAACAAACGGCAGTAAACATGGCAATAACACTCGGATGCTGTCTCGAAGAATTGCAAAGACCATACTTTATCGGGCAAAGAATGTCTCTTTTAATTCCTTACAAATTCTCTAAACACGAAATAAAGGTATGATAAAAAAGCGTGTCTAAATTTAAATGTTTGCAAGGGTGTGCAAAAAATATATTAATTATATATTTATATATATATGTACATAATCTAATCTCCAATTAAATGTAATATGATTATGCATTTCTTTCTTATACCAGTATGCTCGAGTTTCTGTCATGCGCAGATACATACCTAACAGGTCTATGTACATACATACGAGTACATAGATAAATATGCTCTTATGCTAAACATATACAAAAATACGTACACATATACATAAACACATTAAAACAATAAGATAATCTATTTTTGACATGTACGTATCTATAGATCGATAAAATAATTTACCAACTAGTAAAATATGTATGCATTCTAAACATTGATCACAGTCAATAATGTTAATGCTTTATAAATAGAAATGTAATCTAATACTCAATGATAATTATTACTACGCCTAACTTTACCTTATGAAACCTTAACGATATAATACTTTTGTTCAATTTTCAAATAATTCATAGTAGAAAAATATTTTCGAGGTGCCGATGACATTATAGCTTTCCACAAATGTTTTATTTTAAATATCTTTATTGTTTAAATTGATAATTTACAGTTAAATTGTATCGATAAATACCAAAAAAAAAAAATTTTCTTCAACAAATTATGTCATTAACCTACATAATTCATTTCTTACGCACACGCATGCTAACGAATTTTGGGCTTGCTATTAATACAGCATTCAAGGTAATTCTTTCTTCAAATATAAACATACCACACTATATATTTATAAAAACATAAATTGGCAATGCTTTTAAGCTCTGTTCAAGTAAAAGCATTTGTTGATTTTTAGAATTGTCCGTATATTTGGCCTCAAACTCTATGAGGCAAGCCGCAAGAATCTGTACCTACAACATCTCCAAATAGATGTTAATGATCCTAAAAGTAAATAGTCTGTTTTCGACTTTTATTGCTCATTGAACAGAGTATTACGCAGTCGCATGTAACCTACTCTTAGGAGCTTTTTATTGTTTATTTGTTACATTTTAGTTTGGTTGCTTTATATGTTATTATGACCATTAAATCAGATTTAACACATTAGTTCATTTGTTTCACATGAAAGATGTATAGGTTAAACATGTATTCTAATTTTACTTTAAGATGACGATGATGTGTCCGAAGTATTTGATAAGACAGAAAAAATTCTAAGCACAACAATCATCTAAGAAAAATTTAAAAAAGAGATGCATCTGTTTTTAGGTTAAAACAAATATTTATATTGTTTGCAAGAGAAATGTGAAAATAAATATAATAAAATATTGAAATCTAGCATAAAAAAATATACAAAAAGTAAATATAAAGCTAACAAAAATTGTAATTGCAATTTAAAAAATAAATTATAAACATTTCAAGTAATGAACTTGGGGATTTCCGCTGCATTGGATTGGACACTTGCGTTTTCTATTTAGCTTGAATATATGCATTTGGAAAAAAAAAATTCAATTGATAGCAATATAACAATTGATCTCGTCAAAAAAAAGCTCACAACACCCACGGTCGATTAGTAAATTTGGTTAAAAAGGGTTGAATGATTTAATAGTTGAGTCGATTTAACAATTGTCGTCAACCTTTTCTACTGTTCGCCTGTATGAACGAATCGATCTCAGAATATATAATAGCTAGTCACGGTGGACTGATCAACCACTTGATTCCTAGAGAAAACAAGTAAGAGGTTCTAGTTCAGGGTATCTCCTAGTCGGGAGCTCCCGACTAGAATCTATTACTTGTTTTTAAATTTATTTGGTGTTGGAATAAGGGGTATACAGAGTATACCATGAAAGGATATATATATTCTATTTTAGAAGCTATATGTCAAGTTTGGTGACTCTCTTATTATTTACCCAAATTGCCCATAAAACAGCATATCGATATCGATTTTTATCGATTGCTTGGAAACGGAGTAAGTTATCGGTTATCGGAAACAAACTCGATCTGCGCAGGCACTAGGAGCACCTACATCAAAAATTTCAAGTCTCTAGCTCTATTAGCTCTTATAGCTCTCTAAGAGCTTTGCGTTCATACATACGGACAGACGGACAGACAGACAGACAGACAGACGGACATGGCTAGATCGACTCGGCTATTGGTGCTGATCAAGAATATATACACTTTATGGGGTCGGAGATGCTTCCTTCTGCCTGTTACATTTTTTGAATATTTTGAGTTTTGCACAAATACAATATACCCTTATAACCATTTTTAATGGGTTCGCAATTACCATGCTGTTAGAATGCGAAGCAGACGCGCATGAATGGCTGTGTGTACATGTATACAGAAATTCTTAGTTTCGCTAGCTGTCCTACCCAATTGCGCAGTTGCATGTAACCACTAACCAAACAACATATGTATGTTGTGATATAACTTTGTTTTTTTCCTAACCGATTTTTATGAAATTTTCTACTGTATATCTTATTGTACAATACAATATTTGTTTATTCTCAAAAGTCAATTGCATTTAAATAGTGGCTTCAATTGGTTGGCAATGGCTCTAGCTCTTATTATTTACCCAATTTGCTCAAAAAACAGGATGTTGATACCGATTTTTATCGGTTTATCGGAAACAAACTCGATCTGCGCAGGCACTAGGAGCAGCTACATATAAAATTTTATGTCTCTACCTCTTATAGGTTCTTAGATCCTTGCGTTCATACATAAGGACAGAACGGTCGGAGATGCTTCCTTCTGCCTGTTACATACATTTGCATTTTGCACAAATACAATATACCTTTTTACCCATTTTCAATGAGTTCAGGGTATAATGACTAGATTAGGTAAGCTGCTGTTGTTGACCAATAATATATATAAATAATAGGGACCAATTATATACAAATTATGGGGATAGGGGTGCCCCTTAAAAAAGATTAAACTCTTTTTAACCATTTTGCTATGAATTTTATACTTGTTTAACACTTATTTGTTTAATTATTAATAAATTAAATTTTTGCCACAGCTTAATTTTGCACATATTAGATAAATTAACGTTTGTATCTGTTGTTCTATGTTTAGTTTCGTTTAGAAATCATTAAATAACTGCAAATCTTTCTGGTCCATTGCAGTGGTGGGCTTCCAATCCGTTTCGGGATAATCATCAAAATTTGTTGTATCACCATCATGATGGACATCAGGTAAAATTGGTGGCTGCAATAAACAGACAAGAAGGGTAAACGATTAAAGACACAGTATAATAGTGTCAGTTTAAATCTAAGCTATCCTGTACACAGAACTGAATAAGCTTAACGTGATTTAATTATATGATCGTTACTATATTGTTGGGAGACAAAGATGTATGTTCGGTTCGTTTACAAACAAGGGTGATTATTATTACGATGCATATAAGGACTTTCCTTTTGCACAGTCCTAATCTTTTCATTTTCGACAAAGTGGAAAAACTTTCGATATGTGTGTGTTTTGTATTTATGTTTACATAGAAGGAGGGTTTTATGCGTCTTCCAGTCGGGTACTCCACTCTAGTGCACTCTTACTTTTTAAAAAAATGTTAATTTACATTTTGGGAATGTATTCAGTTGTCGGAATGTGACTAGTACTTTGTGCGTTTTTAGGTGACTAGTTTACAATCAAAATGAGTCCGTGTTGTTTGTACCCCTTACCATAAGCTTCTTGTTATAGACGTCATTCCAATTTAAGTTTTTAAACCACCGATGCCTCTTAACGTCATCAGCACCATTCTGCGGGTATAATAGAGTAAAAAGAAGGCAAAAAATTAAACATTTAAATAATAAAGCATGTAAGAGGTTCTAGTCGGCTGTCGACTCTACTCAACAGCCACACCAGCAAAAAAAATAAAAAACAAGTAAGAGGTTCTAGTCGGGAACTCCCGACTAGGGGATACCCTGAGCCCTCTTCTTCCAACATCAAATGCATATATATATTTTATTTTAGAAGCTGTATGTCAAGTTTTGTGACTCTAGCTCTTATTATTTACCAAAATTTCCCAAAAAACAGGATATCGATATCGATTTTTATCGATTGCTTGGAAACGGAGTAAATTATCGATTATTGGAAACAAACTCGATCTGCGCGGGGACTAGGAACATCTGCATCTAAAATTTCAAATCTCTAGCTCTTATAGGTTCTGAGATCCTTGCAGACGGACGGACGGACAGACAGACGGACATGGCTAGATGCTTCCTTCTGCCTGTTACATACATTTGGATTTTGCACAAATACAATATACTCTTATACCCATTTTTAATGAGTTCAGGGTATAAAAACGAGAAGGAAAGGCTATCTTCGGCACGCCTAAGATCTAATACCCTTGCAGACCCAACTTTTTCATAATGCTTATACTGCTTTGCCCGTATCTAATAAGCACAGGGAAAATAGTTAATGCTGAGTTTGGTCAAGATATCTTGATAAGCTAAAAAATCAAAAACCTAGTTTTCGACCGATCGTTCCTATGGCAGATAAATGATATAGTAGTCCGATGTAAAGATGTATATATATATATATATATATATATAGAAAATTTCATAAAGATCGATTAAGAAAAAACCAAAGCTATATGTAACTGCGCAATTGGATAGGGCAGCTAGCGAAAACATCAATGCAACAACTGCATTTGGTGTTGGCATAAGAGGGTTCAGGGTACTCCCTTGTCGGGAGATCCCGAATAGAACCTCTACTTGTTAATTTTATCTTTATGCATATGACAATCGGACATGTATAGATCGATTCAGCTATTGACGCCGACAAGAATCTGAGATGAAAAACATCATAAGCAATTAATTTTTCCGATCATTTATCATTCATTATTAATTTATAATAATTATTCTATTGAAGCGAGAATCTCTAATTATTACTAAATTCTTAAAATATTACATTCACGTCTTACCTTCATATTACCCAGTCTCTTTGTTCTGTCATTTACCAACAACTTTTTTATTAGGTCTTTAGCAATAGGATCCATGTGGCGCTCCCATTCAATTTTGCCGCTCAATATCTTTTCGTAAATGCCAAATGGTTGCTCATCATAAAATGGCGGATACCCCACGAGCATTTCATATATAAGCACACCTGTAAAAAAAATGAACGAAATAATATTATAGTGAAACATAGGCTTCAGTATAACATACCCAACGCCCACCAGTCAACTGCCTTGTTGTGGCCTTTAGATTGTATTATCTCTGGAGCTATATATTCAGGCGTGCCGCATAATGTCCATGTTCGATCACGGAGCTTTTTAGCAAAGCCGAAATCGGTTATCTTTATATGGCCATCTCTATTTATCAACAAATTCTCTGGTTTTAAGTCCCGATATATAATTTGCAGTGAGTGCAGGTATTCAAGAGCGCTGACAATTTCAGCTGCATAGAAATTTGCTGAAGAAAAAAGTTTTTATTTTCTTTGTGGAATCGACTTATGGTCCAACTTACAAGTTTGACTAGTAAACTTCCCTGCATTGCGCAGATATGTAAACAGCTCACCGCCGCAAACATAATCAAAGATCATGTATAGATTAGACTCATCCTTGGTGGACCATTCTCTGTAAGACGAAGAAAGGAAAAAAAAATAATTACACGACAACGCAGATTAAAAGGCTCTTATTTCTAAAATATGTGTAACAGTTAATCAAGTATTGATCATATGTTTTTATACCCTGAACTCATTAAAAATGGGTAAAAAAGGTATATTGTATTTGTGCAAAATGCAAATGTATGTAACAGGCAGAAGGAAGCATCTCCTACCCCATAAAGTATATATATTCTTGATCAGCATCAATAGCCGAGTGGATCTATCCATGTTCGTCTGTCCGTCCGTTCGTCTGACCGTCCGTCCGCCTGCCCGTCTGTCCATATGTATGAACGCAAGGATCTCAGAACCTATAAGAGTTAGAGAACTGAAATTTTAGATGTAGCGCCTGCGCAGATCGATTTTGTTACCGATAATCGATAACATACTGCGTTTCCAAGCCATCGATAAAAATCGATATCGACATCCTGTTTTTAAAGCAGTTTTGATAAGTATTAAGAACTTGTCATTAACTTAATATGTTGTTTCTAGAATATTATATATATTATACCTTTCATATTATACCTATCGCCACTTCCCCGTTAACACCGCAGAGCTATAAACCAAGTTAATAACCCAACTTTTATAGCCAACCAATTTAAATGCAGTTGATTCTTTGAGAATAAACAAAAATTCTATGCTT